AATTTATATGCTAATGATGAGGAATGGATGAGCAAGGGCATCAGGAGGTCTGATGTGATTAACCTGATTTGATTCTTCAGTCCTCAGCAGCCAAACCTGAACACAGGCAGGCATAGCAGTATAGTTAAAATTTAAGTGCAAATGACTATGTTAAAAAAGAAGTCTTTACCTTTAAAAAATACATACTGAAATATTTTTGTATGAAATGATGTGATTTGCTTTGAGATAAATCAGATTTATCTCAGAAGTGGAAGTGTGTGGGTGTGAGATTGCGATTTGTAATAAACATATATTTGGTCCTGTCCCATTTCTGGCACAGAGCTCCTAAAACCCTTGGAATTTCCTGTGATGAGAGGGATAAAGATGTCTCTTATGTTAATGAGGTGACTTTTGGACCTACCTAAGGATGGGGGCTGTTTGCCATGAGAGCCAACCATGTGATTAGAGGGTTGGAACTTTTGGTCCCACTGCCCTGACCTCTAGGGAGGGAAGAGAGGCTGGAGGCTGAGCTTAGTCACCAATGACCAATGATTTAATCAATTATGCCCTTGTAATGAGTCCTCCATAAAAACCAAAAAGGACGGGGTTCGAAGAACTTCTAGGTTGGTGAACACATGGAACTTTGGGGAGAACAGCGTGCCTGGAGAGGGCGTGGAAGCTCCATGCCCCTTTCCACATACCTTGCCCTGTACATTTCTTTCATCTGCTGTTCCTGAGTTATATCCTTTTAGAATAAATCTAGTAAAGTTCTGTGAGTCACTCTAACAAATTAATCAAACCCAAGGAGGGGGTTGTTGGAACCTCCAGTCTATAGCGGATCAGTCAGAAGCACAGGTGATAATCTGGACTTGTGACTGGCATCTGAAATTGTGTGTGTGTGTGTGTGTGTGTGTGCGCGTGTGTGTGTATGTGTGTTGGGGGTGGAGTGGGGTCAGTCTTGTGGGACTGAACCCTTAACCTGTGGAATCTGATGCTTTTCCTATGGGTAGATAGTGTCGGAATTGAGTTGAAATGTAGGATACCCTGCTGGTGTCTGAGAATTGCTTGGTAGTGTGGGAGCCCTATCCCCTCAATGTTGGAATTGGGGTGCAGAACCTTTTATAGTGGGGTGGATGAAGCAAGATTTGCTATGATTGTTGAAGCAGGATGATAAATACATGGAGTTCATGTATTTGTACTTTCTATTTTTGTATGCATTTGAAATTTGCCACAATAAAAAGTTAAAAAAATGGTTAGTTGTGGGTATGTAATTCAAAATGTTATCATTTATTCATTCATTCAACCTTCAGAATTAATTGAGCATCTACTCAAAAGAGGTTCAAAACAATAGGTGTTTTGGAAAATTTTGGATCTTAGTATAAAGAGCTTGCAATCCAAGAGTGGAGGTGTTATGCACATAACTCAATTTAAGGTAAGTTGGAATATTATGAATTCCATATCTTAAAAAAACAGATCTACATGAAGTACTGTGGAAGTTCTGGGGAGAGATTTTTTTGCAGCTCAGGGGAATCAGGGAAGACTTGATACTGAAGATGGCATTTGAGCTTTATTCATCCACTTAATTCAACAGATATTATTGAGTCCTACTGTATGCCGAATACTGTTCTCAGTCTTAAGGATCCAGCAGTGAACAAAGCTGACAAAGATCCTACTCTTGTGAACTTTACATCCTAATGGGAACAGATAGACAACACGTAACAAACATAAGTTTTATCGTGTGTTAGAAGATGAGAGATGTTACAGAAAAAAGAAGTAGGGCATCGTGAGGGAGGTTAGTAATGTTGGGGGTAAGGTTGGGGGGGGTTACAATGGTAAACAGGGTGGTCAGGTTGACATTTCGGCAAACTCTTGCCAAGGGAATTGGCCAAGTGGATATTCGCGTGAAGAGCCTTCCCTCCGAGGGCACAGCTGGAGCAAAGGCCCTAAGTGGGGAGTCTGCCTGGTGTATTTGCAGAGCAGCAAGAGGACCAGCGAGGCTGGAGCAGAGTGAACGAGGGGGAGACGAGTTGAAAATGAGGTCAGAGAAGTAACGGGGAGGGCATGGTGGTGGTGGTACCAGAGTTGGGGGGCAGACCTTCTAGGTAATCATAAGAACTTTGGTTTTTACTTTTAGTAAAATGAGGAGCCAGTAAAGGATTTTGAGCCAGAAGTGTAGCATGATTTGCTTATAGCTTACAGTGATTCTCTGGCTGTTATGTCGAGAGCAAATACTGGGGTGGGGACCTTTTAGGAGGCTTTTGGTATAATCTTGCCAAGAAACATTGGTGACTCAAGCTAGAACGATAGCAGTGGATGTGATGAGAAGTGGTCATATTTTAGTTAGAGCTTAAAGGCAGAACCAACAGCATTACCTGAAAGATTGGATGTGGGATTTGAGAGAAAGAGAAATGTCAAGGGTGACTAAAGAATGGAGTTGCCCTCAAGGGAGAGAAGGAAGGCTGCAAGAATGACAGTTTTCTGGGGGGAGGGAAGAGCGGCAGTTCAGTTTTGGACATGTTAAGTTTGGGATGTTTACCAAACATCTGAGTGGAAGTCAGGTAGGTAGTTGGAGTTTAGAGTCTGGGAGAGAAAACTGAGCTGCAGGTGTACATTTGGGAGTTACTGTCATAGAGACAGCATTTAAAGCCATGAGCCTGGATGAATTAATTCATCTAGGGGGTGAGTATAGGTAGAGAAGACCAGGGATGGACCATGGGCCATTTCAACATTAAGAGAACGGAAGAGAACCAACCAGCAAAGGAGCTTTTAGCCTCAAAGAGCCGATGATCTGTGAACCTGGGAAGTCAGTCCTCTAAGTTGAGGGGTGAGCTTGAACAAGAGCGTGATGCTGGGGGAAAAAACAGATTGTTGATAACCAGGAGCAGATGTGTTTAGTATTCATGTTTTTTAAGAATAGTTTTCTGTTGAATGGAGGCTTATTCACATTTAGGTTGATAATGTTAGTGCAGAGTTTAAGATTCCATTATCTAACTGGATTCATTAATTTACCCTCCCTTGCCTATTTTTATTGGGTGTGTAATGAAACTCACATTTCCTGTTTGGAGTACTCTCTTGTAAGGGGTCAAACAAGGATCAACAATTTTTTTTGGTAAAGGGCCAGATAGTAAATATCTCAGGCTTTGCAGGCTGTACAGTCTCTGATGCAGCTACTCAACTTGTCTGTTGTAGTGGGGAAGCTGCTACAGGCACATAAACGATGAACATGGCTGTGTTCCAATAACGCTTGATTTCGGACACTGAATTTTGAATTTTATGTAATTTTCATGTTTCACAAAATATTATTCTTCTATTTTTTCCCGCTACTTAAAAGGTAAAAAAGTCATTCTTTGTAGGCTGTACAAAGATAAGTGGCAGGCTGGATTTGGCCTACTGGCTGTAGTTTGCTGACCTCTGGCTTAAAAGATTTTTTTTTTCCAGGTCCACTTTGAACCAGATCATTCTGCCAAATGCATTGTTTTTTTTTTTTTTTTTTTGGATTTATTTATTTATTTGTGGCTGTGTTGGGTCTTCGTTGCTGTGCGTGGGCTTTCTCTAGTTGTGGTGAGCAGGGGCTACTCTTTGTTGCAGTGCGTGGGCTTCTCATTGTCGTGGCTTCTCTTGTTGCAGAGCATGGGCTCTAGGAGTGCGGGCTTCAGTAGTTGTGGCACGTGGGCTCAGTAGTTGTGGCTTGCGGGCTCTAGAGCTCAGGCTCAGTAGTTGTGGCACATGGGCTTAGTTGCTCTGCGGCATGTGGGATCTTCCCAGGCCAGGGCTCGAACCCATGTCCCTTGCATTGACAGGCAGATTCTTAACCACTGCGCCACCAGGGAAGCCCCAAATGCACTGGTTTGAAATCAGTTACAAAGTGGGTTAGCCAGACTCTTTTGAGTCTGTTTTCAGCCACTGTTTATGCTGATTTGCATTGTCCGTGTGGCGTTGTACATGACATATTAGTCTCTTTGATGGGTGAGTGGTCTGGGTGACCTCTAGGATCTAGTTCACGTCCATGATTCTAGTCCAGTGATTTTCTTAAAAAAAAAAAAAGAGAAAGAAAGAAATACTCAAAATTCTTTTGAAACTATCCTCCATAGCTTCTGCAACACTGTGGTCTCCCAGAGTTTCTTCCCTTGACCTTTCCCTCTCATTTTCCTTCTCAGGCTCCTGACTTGAATGTCCCGTTCCTGCGCTCTGTCCTCAGGCCTCTTCTTTCTCCCTTTTTCCACTCTCCGTGGTGACTTCCATCAGGCTGTGACTTCAGTTACCACCTCTGCACCAGAGACTAACACGTGTGTATGTAGCTCTGACTTCTGAGGTGGAAAGCAAGGTTTCCCATTAGCTAGAAGTTAAAATCCAAACTCCTGAGCCCAGCCCACACTAACTCTCCGTGCACTGCCTGGCAACTGGACTGGGCTGTTGGGCAGCTTCCAGCACGTCATCCATCCTTCTGCTGCATCGTCTTTGCCCTTGCTCTTCCCTCTGCCAACATTACCCTCTCTCCTTGCTGCCGTCTCCCTCCCTGCTAATTCCCAGCACACCCCAAATTGATACCCTGCCCTTTGAGAACCCACTCAGAGGGCCACTTACTCTGCAAGATTCAGCTTAATGCCTGTACTTCTTGGAAGCCCTGTTTCATAGACAAGGTTCAACGTTTCCTCTGTGTGCTCACGGTATCTTACGCACATTTCCATTGTAGCCCTTGCCTTTATTGCTCTGTTAGGTCAAAAGTCCTTGAATATTGGTTGAACATCAAATATATTTATAAGTTGGTACATTCACTAGACAATGCTTGGGAGCAGAGTTTGGGTCCTGCTAATCTTTGTAACCCCAGAGCCTGACATTTAGAAGATACTTAATTTGTGTTTAGAAAAAAAAAAAAAAAAGAATGATTCCATGAGGACATGCTTATATGGGCTACACTGACTTTGATACAAATTAAAATATATTGACAGTCGTAGGCAAAATTAGACCTTTTTATGACTATATTTTATGTCTTTAACTATATTTATCTTTTTCTGTTGTAGAAGGAAAATTCTTCCCAGGATGGTCTCCCATTCAGAGTTGAGGAAACTTTTCTGTTCAGCTGATGCAGTGTGCTTTGATGTTGACAGCACAGTCATCAGAGAAGAAGGAATTGATGAGCTGGCCAAATTCTGTGGAGTTGAGGATGCTGTGTCAGAAATGTAGGAACAGTATTTATTCACCTTACGAAATGATAAAGAATTGCAAAGGAAGAGTGACTTTTGGATGACATGCAGGACCAGAGCCCAGAGCCTGATCTTAGTCCCTGCCTATGAAACATGGGCACTAGGCTTTTTGCTCCATCACTGAGAGCTGAATTTGGTAGTGTACATCATCCAACCATCCCTTTATACAAATATTTATGGCAAAAAAATATATGGTTGCCTCTGACAAACAAATATGGATGACATACTCTTAGCTTGGTCAGGGGACTGATGACGATAAGTAACCAAAGAAGATGACCTGGGGGGTCTCCAGGGGTCCAGTGCTGTGTGGCCTTAGTGGTTTGTTAGAAAGCTAGTTACAGTTCAGAGTTTCTCCATGGATGCCTGGGTGAGAGGCCCTCCCTCCCTCCTGCCCTCCCTGTGTCAGCTGCAGTCACTAGCTCGTGGACCATTTCACGTTCAGCTGCCTTTGCTGCGAGAGGACAGGGCCTTCGGTTTCTTTCTTGGTTTACAAACACTCCCAGCTTCCAAGGCAGGTACCTGTGGATAGTATGTGTGGTTTTCTTAGCTCACTGGATGGTGTATTTGTGGATCCAAAGGATAAAGGATTCTCTTTACTGATGTCTTTTGTGCCTTGGTCTGATTTGCTCTGCAAAATAGACTTAGGCTATTTTGGCTTCAAAATATTAATGTGATTCTCAAGCAAACCTTCAGTGGTTTATCCCAGGCCTCACTCACTCCCATGGCCATGCACCACGTCTGTTGTATGGTGGGGCACCTTCCTCATGCGTGGACCTTGTGAGGAGTGGGGGAGGGTAGGCGTGTAAACTTCGAAGACAGCACTTAGCTGGCCTGATTTTTGGGTCTTCCTCCTAGGACACGGCGAGCCATGGGCGGGGCAGTGCCTTTCAAGGCTGCCCTCACAGAGCGCTTAGCTCTGATCCAGCCCTCCAGGGAACAGGTGCAAAGGCTTATAGCAGAGCACCCACCACACCTGACCCCCGGCATAAGGTAAGGGGCTCCCCAGTCTGGGTACACTGTCTCCCTATCAGCACCTGCATTTGGGGGCATGTCCTCCTGAGGGCATCTCACCATTACTTTAGAGCTCCCTTCTTTGTGGTTCCTTCGGTACTTGTATATGGTCTTGTCTGCTAGTTGTTCCTGCCCACGTCTGCCCTCCCTCTCTCCCCACGGAGAGCCTAAGCCTCCTCTTCTTCTTGTGTTTCTGGGTCCATGGGCAGAATAGAGTTGTGGAACGGTTTCCTAAAGCAGTTAAGCCCCACCCACTAATTTCTAAGTGCTTTTAGAAAAACATATATAAAACATTAATTCATTAGGCGGTATACCTTGTCTGATGTACCTTGGGCAAATGCATTTGGAGAAAAAATATATTTGAGTTTCCTTTTCATGTTTTCTCTTTTATATTAATCAGCATTTGGTATTTTATATGTTTTTTGTTTTTATTCTTTCAGGGAGCTAGTAAGTCGCCTACAAGAGCGAAATGTTCAGGTTTTTCTAATATCTGGAGGCTTTAGGAGCATTGTGGAGCATGTTGCTTCAAAGCTCAACATCCCATCAACCAATGTATTTGCCAACAGGCTGAAATTCTACTTTAATGGTAAGTCTTTAATAGTAACATTTTCTCCTTCTTATCAGTTTTAGTATTCAACGTCCTAGGTAATGTCTGTTGGAATGCAACTCAAGCAAGGTGGAATCAGAGTTAAATGTTGAGGTAAAGGATTCTCTTTACTGATGTCTTTTGCACCTTGGTATCGTTTGCCCTGCAAAATAGACTTAGGTCATCATCTCTCCTACCTTCAGTATCGATATAATCATCTATCTGTATATAAATGTCTGTACTGAGTAAAATGTTAGTTCTTATGTAACCCTCGTGACTTATTTTGTTATGCATCATATTTCAGTTCTATGAAAGCTCTCATGTATCTGAATCAATTTAGACTCAGGAAGGAGAGTTAATTTGTGAGCAAGTCGCTGCACTTTAGCTGCCTTTGGAGGCACCTCCTGGCCCCTCTCTGGACCATCACAGAACCACAGCTGTAGTTTTCTGTCATCTCAAGATGTCTCCAGTTATGTCAAGGGGTGGCTGACATTCTTAACACCAAATAATATTAATTAAAAATAAATTACATGTGTTAATAGAACACTTTTTAAGGGTCTATAGATAGAAATCATTAAAAAAAAGAAGTAGAGAATAAGTGTGGTAATTACTGTAAGAATAGAAATAATCCATCAAATATAAATAGGAATCTCCTCTTAGATGAAATTGTATATCAACATGTTTTAAATTAATATATTACTATTTCATGGTGTTCTGCCACCTCAACAAGTTTTGACAGTTATGACACTGGAAGCTTAGAGGATAAAGTTAATTTACCCCAAGATGTTTATCATCTAAAGGAGTAACCTTGACAAGAGGTGTTTGTAATTTAAAAGCAAAACTTGTTCATTCTGAGGAATAAGTGTGAAAGTCCAGGCTGTGTCACTTTACTGAAGGCTGTTTTTAGCTTTGTGAGTGATAGGAAGGTGAGGCTATCATCTGTGCAAAAGGCTGGCCCTACTGATACAATCCTGTGGATCTTTAACACTGTTTTAATGGCTCTTTTAAGGTGAATATGCAGGTTTTGATGAGATGCAGCCAACAGCCGAATCTGGTGGGAAAGGAAAAGTTATTAAACTTTTAAAGGAAAAATTTCATTTTAAGAAAGTAGTCATGATTGGAGATGGAGCCACAGACATGGAAGCCTGTCCTCCTGCTGTATGTATTAAGTGTACTAATTGTTTTGCGTTTGTATTTTTACTGTTGACAGCTGACTTAGAACTCAGTACAATTTGTGAGAGTTAAACAAAAACCTGTATCAGCCTGAAATAAAAAACCAAGATAAATAAAACAAATTCAATCTCAATATATTAATTGACTTTTTGCAAACCCAAGGAGGGTTGCAAATAAGGAACTTAAAAACCTTTTAAAACTTTCAAAGACCCCTGTCCCTGCAGGATGGCTGCCACCTCTTAGCCCGAGTATGTGCTCAACAAGGTTTGGCTTCATTTCCACAAATAATGCAGCTCTTATTACTATAACCGAAATTGTAATGTTTTATATTTGATAAACTATTTCCTCATACGTTATCTCATTTAATCCTCATAACAGCCCTGTGAGGTAAGAGTATTATCTTCTCCTTTTTACTGATCAGAGAACTGAGGCTCAGGGAGGTTTGAGACCACACCCATATTAAGGCATTTTATTCCTCTGAATTAACATTGTTTTCTGAGACTAGCAGGAAACAAATGCTATATAGCCCATATCTTAAGTTAAGCCAATATCTTAATTTATCACATGTCCCTTTCATGTAGGACTTTGACTATATTGTCTTGTTCTAACTTAAGAAAAACTGAACCAAAAATATAGTGGTGAACGTTTTACTACCTAGTTTCCTGAGATCTAAAAATAGCATCTTTCTCTGTCAATGATTAAGCATTCGTGGTTAAAGAATCTTTTGGGATCCTTCTAACACTACTTGAGTCAGTTCGAGATAACACGTTCTTAGATGATTTATAGCCGATGTTGGGGTCGACTAAGTAGTGAACGCCGGGCTAGTTGAATAGCAAGGCATAAAATGCAGGGTTCTCTCAGGGGGCCCCCGATCCCGGTGTCCAGAAAGAGCAAAATTACAAATTCCAGATGACCTACCAGTCAGAAAATGATATAGCCTGACTGAACCAAGAGAAAGTGGTGTGCATGCAGGTGTGTAGCCCTGGAAGGTGGTCAGAGGAATCAGCCTCCATGTGGAGGCCTGGCAGGACTTGGTGGGGTGTGTGTGTGTGTGGAATTTCTAGAGGGAGGGGAAGCAGCAGAGCACAGTAAGGATGTACTAGCATGGTCCTAGGCACAAGTGAGCTTTCTCTTCAGCAAGAGAAGAAGACCCCACATACCAGGCACTCTGGTGTTACCTTTGGGTCCTGGGAAGCCCTGGAAGGCTTCTGGACCGAGAAGGAACAAGTCAGTGTGTTAGGACAGCTGAGCTGGTGCTGGCATGCAGAAAGGGCTGCAGCAGAGGCAGGGAGCTCAGTTAGGAGGAGGCTAAATTTAACTAGAAGGGAAGTATCTAGTTATTCCCTGCCCCCCCGCCCGCCCTTGTATGGTATGAAAATAAAAATGAAGACAAAGGTCAAGTAAGAATTTTGTACTTCTAAATTAGTGTATATTGTGTCTGTAGCCTGGCAGAAAAAGAGAAAATACCATTTAAAAAGATCATTGACTAAAAGAAGGTATCACTGAGCAGAAATTAATGAAACAATGTAACTTTAAATAATTCTACCAGTGAAAAGTGGAGTGCTGCTAACACACTCTGGGGTTGTCATCTCCTTCAGCCCAGAATAACATGCCCTCCTGGGAGGGAGGTCCCTCAGTTTCACCCAGGATGCCAGCTGGGAGATACCTGCTCTGGTCCTGATTCCAGGCCTCGGGCATTTCCACGGCACCACAGGCTTCTCTTTGATCTTCTTTCTCTGAAATTGTCTGGCCTGGACGTGATTGCCACCTAGTTTAGAACTCAGATGTTTACCACCTGGTGTGGTTTTAGTTTTGTAAGCAATTGTCTTGGTTTTAAGAGGGCTTCAGTTCTCCTGAAGCCCACAATGTCCAGCTGAATGCATCTGCAGCAGTGGTGGTCAGACTCATTCATTCTCAGGGCAGGAGGAGGGGAGGCTCCCGGGGAGCTGGGGAGGGAGGTGCCCCAGGTGAGGCTGGGCTCACCTCTCTTTGCACAGAGTTTATTCTTTTAAACAACACTTACTGCCCTAGGCTGCTGCTGTATCTTTGTCTCTCTCTTTTAAACTATTTCTCTTTTGTTCTCTTCTTAGGATGTTTTCATTGGATTTGGAGGAAATGTGATCAGGCAACAAGTAAAGGACAACTCGGAATGGTACATCACTGATTTTGTAGAGCTTTTGGGAGAACTGGAAGAATAAGATCAGTTTTTATACAGTTCATAACAACTTCAGGTTAATTTTTAAAAGTTATACAGTTTGATACTATTTGCTTCCAATTGAATATTAGGACTTAATATATAAATTTAGTACTGATTATCTGTACTTCCAAGTAAACTATAGTTAGGGCTCATAGAACATTGTGGTTCTTTTTTTTTTTTTTTTAACTGTAGTTCCGGTATTATTATGACCATTTAATTACCTGGAGAGTTTTATAATTTGAATTCTTTATGTATTTTCCTAGCTATATTTTATTTGAAGGCTTTTGAAGGTGGATAGTAAATTAAACACCTTCATTATTGGAAATATGGATTAGGCAGCTTTAAGTGAAATTGGTTTTCCCTTTATATATAAATAAAAGTTTATCCACATATCAGAACAGATTTGTAGAATTTTTTTTTTTTTTTTCTTTTGAGCCACACCACGCAGCTTGTGGGATCTTAGTTCCCCGACCAGGGATTGAACTCAGGTACTCAGCAGTGAAAGCACTGAGTCCTAACCCACTGGACTGCCAGAAAATTCCCGATTTGTAGAATTTTTAATTCTGCCTATCATGTATTTCAGTATCCAGTAATTCAAGTATTTAAGTGTTTGAGTAGAAACGACCTCCGGGCAAGGAACCAAGGAGTCGAGACCCTCCTGAGCACAGGGCAGAGTGCTTGTCACAGTGAATCCACCACTCAGCCCCCGCCACTGAGGGAAACGCTGGGCCGGAGGGATGGAAGTGCTTTTACTACCTCTTGGTATTTGTCATATAGGGAACGTTGCAAAGATTTTTTTAGAAAGATAACCATGGCGCCTTAAACAAAAGTACGGACCTTAAAAAATGGATATTTGATAATCACATGAACTAGGAGAACTGAAAACAAGTTTTACTCATCCCAAATGAAGATCAGTGTTTGCCCTTAAATGGATTAAGAAATAACTCCTCAGAACATATATGAACCATTTCTTTCTTACAGAGGTCTTGGGAGGACCTGAAAGCCCAGGTTCATGTTTATTCTGAGTAGCGCCTTGAAAGGGACATTTCAGAACATGCTTTGAAAGTAGGAGATTATATTCTCTCCCTGGTGGGAAAGCAGGGCGGAAGACAGAGACACAGGTTTAGGAAGAGGCAGGCCATGAGTGGATACTATTGGATAATTAAGTAGAAAAGGCCGGAAGGGTTTAACATTGGGAGTTATTTGAAAAATTTATAATTTAACCAAATAATCAAATTTGGCCAAATTGTCAGATAATTATTTAGCCAAATAATCAAATCAGATGAATCAAGCTTCCTTCCAGACCAGTTTCTGTAGGAGAGCCGTGAAATGAGTTTGGCAACCTTTAACCGAGGCCCCAGACAGCAAGGCAGTTGTTTCATAATTGTGAGTGCTCGCTGGCAGCTCTCTTCGAAGCTGTTTGCGGTGTTGGCACTCTCAGAGGTGCAAGGGGTCAGGGGCAGGGCCAGGCCTGCCAGGCCTGTGAAGGGTGCTTCAGCCTCTGCTACCACCCTGTGCATAAGCTGGAGCAAGCCGGGTGGGCAGGTTAACTTCTCTGAGCTTGTTTCCTGTCTATTAAAAATAGGGCAGTGATATCTGACCTCAGGGCTATAAGAATCACATGAGGAACGTGTGAAAACATCTTGGAAAATGTGAAAATAGGCAGTGTGACTTGTGGTCAGATCACTCCCCAAGTTTTCTGAACCTGATCATAAAGATTCTGAGGGTCATAGAGGCAAAAGCCACCATGCTGTGCTGTCCGTTCTAACTGCCAGGCCTTCAGAGCCTGCCCTCCACTGGGCAGCAGCCTGAACAGGGCGGGTGCATGCTGAATTTGGCTCAGAGGAGTCTGATCTGCTGAGGAATCATGATACCCACAGAGAACCTTTTATACCGATTATACAGCCCCTCCTCTGGCCCCCAGGCTGCCCAGCTTCACAAGCTGCACAGAAGCAGCAGGCACAGTCCGTTCTTTGTTGTGTCAGAGGGCGAGTTTGAAATGTCTCAAGAACTGTGCTAACCTCTTGCATGCTTTTCTAATTCTGGGCTCACTGGAAACAGCGACCGAAAGGCTCTCCCAGGAGTTATGTATATGGTGACACCAGGACAGGATTCAGAAACCAGTGGCAGTGTTATGTGGCTTCCTACCCTTGTGACACCCACCATTTTTCATTCTGATTATGAGCATTGGGTTATGTAAAAAGAAAAAAATTGAGAATTGGGTTCTCGCTCTCTCTTCCAGTGGAGACAAGTGTTTCTCCATGACATCTAGGGAGGCCCACCTGGCTGCCATTCCCCAGAGCAGGGGACAGCATTCTAGACCTGGGGCAGGAGTGTAGCAAGAGATTCCAGAGATTGAAGTAGTCGGCCTCAGTAAGTGATGGCACGGCATGGTGGCTTTTGCCTCTATGACCCTCAGAATCTTTATGATCAGGTTCAGAAAACTTGGGGAGTGATCTGACCATAAGTCACACTGCTTATTTTCACATTTTCCAAGGTGTTTTCACATGGTCCTCATGTGATTCTCATAGCCCTGAGGTCAGATATCACTGCCCTATTTTTAACAGACAGGAAGCAAGCTCAGAGAAGTTAATGACTGCTACAAGGTCACATTCAGAGCTGGAACCCAGGCCGGTGATTTCCACAGCATTCCTGATCTTATGCATTACTAGAGTGTTAACAATTTACTGGGGCTGAGAGAATCCACCCTGAACTGTGATCACAAGTGTTAACATATATTAATACAGTAGATAAAATTTTACTTCCTGCGATGGAAGACCTGTTTTGCAAAAAATACAAGTGGTTTCATTTTTTAAAAAATTTATTTATCTATTTATTTTCGGCTGCATTGGGTCTTGGTTGCTGTGCACGGGCTTTCTCTAGTTGCGGTGAGTAGGGGCTACTCTTTGTTGCGGTGCATGGGCTTCTCATTGTGGTGGCTTTTCTTGTTGCGGAGCACAGGCTCTAGGCATGCAGGCTTCAGTAGTTGTGGCACGTGGGCTCAGTAGTTGTGGCTCACGGGCTCTAGAGCACAGGCTCAGTAGTTGTGGCGCACAGGCTTAGTTGCTCCATGGCATGTGGGATCTTCCCTCACGAAGGCTCGAACCTGTGTTCCCTGCACTGGCAGGCAGATTCTCAACCACTGCGCCACCAGGGAAGCCCCAGTGGTTTCATTTTTAACGGTTAACTGAGCTCTGGAAAAAGTACTAGTTTTAGTACTAGTTAACAGAGGACTCTTCAGTACTTTGCTTATCACATTTTCCAACTCTGAGCATATTTCTGTATATGTTTATTGTCTTCCTTTTAAATTGTTTTTATGGAGCTTATCTAGGCAGAGTGTATTTCTAAGGATTTCTAGAATATGAAAATAGTAGGAATAAAGGCACGGCAGTATCTGCTTTCTGAGAGTCCCATGTATCTTCCAATTAGAACTGACAGTCTCTATAAAGATTTTTTTTTTTTCTTTTTTGCCAAACAGCATCTGGGATCTTAGTTTCCCCGACCAGGTATCGAACCCGCGCCCCCTGCAGTGGAAGCTTGGAGTCTTAACCACTGGACCACCAGGGAATTCCCAGAACTGACAGTCTCTATACTTTCCTCTTCCCTTCCTTCCCTTTCTCCCTCTCTTCCTTCTGTCGACTCATCAAGCATATTACTGAACATCTACCATGTCTTAGCCAGAAACTGAGAGTATAAATTTAATAAGAAATTTAAAAGTTTAATGTAGAACTGAAGAAAAGGATATTTCACAGGCAGCTGTGAGAATAAGGGAAAAGAAGCAGATTCTGTCAAGTGCTAGTTGGGAGGAGAGCAAAGTGTGGTTCCAAGAGGGCTTTTAAAAAGTAGTAGGGATCAGTTTCTCTAGTGGTGCAGTGGTTGAGAATCCACCTGCCAATGCAGGGGACACGGGTTCCAGCCCTGGTCCTGGAAGATCCCACATGTCGTGGAGCATCTAAGCCCGTGCGCCACAACTAGTGAGCCTGCGCTCTAGAACCCGTGAGCCACAACTACTGAAGCCTGTGCACCTAGAGCCTGTGCTCCACAACAAGAGAAGCCACCGCAATGAGAAGCCTGCTTACCACAACTAGAGAAAGCCCGTGCACAGCAACGAAGACCCAACACAGCCAAATATAAAATAAATAAATTTTTTAAAAAAGTAGTAGGGATGATATCACATGAACTATAATTAAAAATTAGTTGGCTTATATAAGTAATAATCACCAGACTTATACCCAATGAATGGAAAGTGAGTTTGGAAGTTTTGAATATTGCCAGGGAAAATTAATAGTTGGACAAATTAATATAATTTGTTCTATTCTGGGGGTTTAATAAAAGAATTTGACAAATTGGGCAGGAATTGCTAAAATAAAGTGTTAATTTGATAAATTAGCTTATTAATAGAATGTTCCTGTCAAAAGTCACCAAGTGACCACTGTGTTGCTAAATTAATGATCCGTTGTCAGCCATCATCCAACCCAGCCTCGCAGTAGCATTCGACACAAGTGATCTCATCCTTGATGGACTTTCTTCACTTGGCTTTCATGATATCCCACTTCCTTGAGTTTCTTCCTGTTTCCCTGGTGGTGTCTCACTCTCCCTTCCTGGTTCATCCTCACCTTGGTCTCCTCTTCTCTGTCTACATTCACTTCCCACTGACTTTATTTTTATTTTTTAAAAATTTGTTTGTTTTTATTTTTGGCTGCGTTGGGTCTTTGTTGCTGCACGCGGGCTTTTCTCTAGTTGCAGCGAGCGGGGGCTACTCTTCGTTGCGGTGCGTGGGCTTCCCATTGCAGTGGCTTCTCTTGTTGCAGAGCACGGGCTCTAGGCCTGTGGGCTTCAGTGGTTGTGGCTCGCAGGCTCTAGAGCGCAGGTTCAGTAGTTGTGGCACACGGGCTTAGTTGCTCCGCGGCATGTGGGATCCTCCCGGACCAGAGCACGAACCTGTGTCTCCTGCATTGGCAGGTGGACTCCCAACCACTGCGCCACTAGGGAGGCCCAGCTCCTTCAATTTTAAATCTCAGCTTTTCAGCAAGGCCAACTCTAATCAAATTTATATAATATTACGTACTGCCCCTCCCAACGCCCCCTCAGATTCCTGATCTCCATTACCCATTCTACCTTCTTCCACTACAGCAATTATCAACTTCTACCATACCATGTAAGTTACAGGGTTTTTTATTTTAATTGCCAGTCTCCTCTCACTGGACTGTAAGCTTCTCAAGGGCAGGAGTCATGTTTCGTTCATATTATTCCAAGTGCCTGGTGCTTGGCACATAACAGAAGCTCAACGTTTGTTGAGTTGAATGAAGACTAAAGCCCAGTGTGGGGCTTTTTTGCTGCCTTGTGAAACCCAGTGACTTAATTAGGACAGAAATTCCTCAGGACTCTAGAGGAGGGT